TCTGCTGTCCCCTTCTCCTCCTGCCTTCAGTCTTTCCCAGCATCAGGGTCTTTTCTAATGAGTCAATTCTTTGCATCAGGTAGCCAGAGTATTGCAGTTTCACCTTCAGCATCAGTCCTTCCAAAGAACACCCAGGACTGATCTCCTTTAGAAAGGACTGGTTGGATCTCCTAGCAGTCCAAGGGACTCTCAAGAGTCTTCTCCAACACCACAGTTCAAAAGCATCAATTCTACGATCCTCAGCTTTCTTTATGGTCCAACTCTCACATCCATACATGACTACTGTAAAAACCAAAGCTTTGACTAGATGGACCTTTGTTGGCAAAGTGGTATCTTTGCTTTTTAATATGCTGTCTAGGTTGGTCATAGCTTCTCTTCCAAGGACTAAGTGTCTTTTAATTTTGTGCCTGCAATCATCATCCACAGTGACTTTGGAGCCCAATAAAATAAAGTCTGTCACTGTTTCCATTTTTTCCCTATCTATTTGCCATGAAGTGATGCCATGAAGATGCCATGATCTTACCTGATTTGTGTATGTGTATATGTGTGTGTATATACATAGTTGTGTGATGTATGTGTACATATATTTTTGTGTCACAAGGCAGCACATTCTTTCAGTGGCACTTAGTTCAACTGTTTCAAGTTTTTGTCTGAAAAAATATTTTCTTAACTTTCACCTTTTTCCAGAGTATTTTTTTATATTTTAAAATGTATTATTCATTCTTTGAAAGAAAGTGCTCTTTGTGATCATCAGGCCAATGTTCCTAAATCCTTTGACTCCTTGTTTGGGTTTTCTCTGGCCATCAGTAATGTGTGGAAAACCTGGAAACTATGGAAAAGAGTGAAAAAGGAAGAAAAAGGCACCGGTAGTCTCACTGCCCACAGATGCTCCATCGACTCTCCTTACATCATCCTGTCATTTCCCTTTCACCACTGAGGTCTGAAAACCAGATTCTAGGAGATCCTGGGGTTCTGCCCTTGCGTGTAGGTGTGTGTGTGTGTGTGTGTGTGTGTGTGTGTGTGTGTCCTCCAAACAGGGAGCCTCCGTTTTCACCCTCCCATCAGATCCAGCTGTGCAGCAGACCCCCCACACAGGGTGTGCCTCCCCTGAATCCTCCTCAGACGTCTCCACAAAGACTGACCAGCTCATAGATGACGCGTCTCCACAGCACACCTGGTTCCTGGCTGTGCTACACGGGCACAGGCTTTAGATGCGGTGGTGCTGGCCCGAGGAGACAGCACGAGGGCAGAGAACACAGACCTGGGGAAGAGGCTGGTTGGTCTTTTGACAAAGTGAACATGGCATCCCAATGAGGGAAGACACAGAGGTCTTTTCAATATGTGGCTCAACGGGACACTCAGATGGGAAAGTGAGTCTGGACCTGCCCCACAATGTAGACACAACCAACGCAGGATGACGACAGGCTAAATGGGAAAGGTGGAACATAAATCTGTGAAAATACAACTTCCCCTTTCCATCAACCCACCTGCATGAGCCTGGGTCAGGTAAAGACTTTGCAAGCTCACAAAAAAACCAATAACAAAGGAAAAAGTAGATATATGTTGTTTCAGTACTTTAATTCTTCAAAACCTATGTTTAAGAGCTTGATAAAGGCAAACTTAGAAAGGGTAAAGATATTTGAAGGACTGTATTAAGGATTGATTAAGGAGTTCCATTGAGAAGAATGCAGAATATCAGATAATACCACTATACCTCACACCAGGACATATAACTTTATAAAATAAAAAGATTAGCTACCTGCATCAACAGAGATGCTAGACCAGTGGAACTCTAGTGCATTGCTGGTGAAGGTGGTAAGTTGACATAGTCTCTTTGGAAAAGCATTTGGTTGTGTGTCCTACAGTTGAAAATATCTTAAGAGCCAGTAGTAGTTACTCCCTAGAAACATATCTACAGGCTGGCATAAGGATGTTCATCTAAGGACATGCTCAAAGCTGCAGTTTGTAAAAGCCAAGAATGCAGGATGACCCCAGTGGCTATCAGTAAGGAATGGATACATCAATCCATTGAGAATATATAGAAACACAAACAAACCCTACAGCTGTGTGGCTTAACATGAGTTAGTTTCAAAAGCATAATACTGAAGAGATCACATGGGTTTTTAATGAAGAAGCAGAAGGAGATTAATATTTTCATGAAATTGGGTTAAGCGCAGGCAGCTGGAGTTTTCCCCAGAGTTCAGAGCTGACTGGTGGCTGGGGAAGGCGCCAGTGAGAAAGGAAAACAGTGACCGAGGTTGGGGGCTGGGGGAGAGCTCATGAGAACATGGCTCAGCTTTCTGACTTGGGGGCCTGACTGCTCCTCAACACACCACCAGGAGAACAGGCAGTCATGCTGGGCATGCAGAAGTTTCTGCTCTGATTCTCCTACGAGACTTCCAGGTCTGCTGCAGGGCTGTGGCCCCCTTGCTTCTGGGCCAAGTGCATTGCCTATGACATCTTGGTTGGCAGGACAGGGCAGAGGGATCCTTACGTGGGGACAGTTTGCCTTGTTTTGTGAGCAAAGACCTGCATGGAGAGAAGCTTATCAAGAGGGGGTCCAGTAACCACAGTTTGCAGGGACTGGTCTTCTGCTGTCATCTTGGTTTGCATAACTCGGATATCACCACCTGAATAAACATAGTAGGCTTTAGGCTTTCTGTACACTCTCTTCCTTGAAGTGTCTTTGAAAATATCAAATAAAATCACATCTGCAGAAATTTCTGGAAAGCTCCACCCTTCCCCTCTCTTCCTGTAGTAAACAAAGGGCAAGGTAGACTTTGGATAAATATTTATTCTAGTTCTCACTTTTTTCTTTTTTTACTCTCAGTTTCTATCTGTTTGCTTTATTGCCTCAGTTTCTTTGTGAGTTTTTTGTTATTGTTTGTTTATTTGTTGCTTTTGCTGTCACAACACTTTTTTGGCATGTTACTTTTCAGAGCACACATACACTCACACAAACACTCATATACAGACACACTCCATGTCACCAGCACTTGCTTTTAGTTGGACATTAATCTCAAAAGAAAAAGAAAAAGAAAAACAAACTGTGGAAGGACATAATGTTTACAATAAAAGAGCTTAGAGCCTAGCAGAAAGACAGAGAGGCAAGCAAACAATTAAACTAGGATCAGATAATTACAAAGCAAACCAAATACCATTTTCATAAAGAAAGAGGTTATCATGTGGAATTTGGAAACCACTGCTATGGATGATATTAATGGAAGAAAGCTTCTGTTCCATTGTGTACTCCAACACTGAATCCTTCTTGGCAGAAATAGAGTTTATAAAAGATTGTTCAGTAATTAAAAACAATCACATTAATTCTAGAAACACCGTCTTGGTGAAATGAAGTGGATTTTATTTGAAATGTGCAGTAGGATTGAAATTAAGTTTTGGATTTGTAAGGTTAAAGACATTAAAGTCTTTTCAGAAATGGCAATCATGCCTGGAATTCTAAAGGAATTCTGGTTAGGAAAAAAATTATTTGTATCACTAGGTAAAACACATGAATATGCATGCAAATTTTAGATCATTGTTTTATCTAAAGAATACCTAAGAGAATTAGATCTAAGGATTACTTTTCTCTGAATTAATTGTTCTGGCTGTGCTGGGTCTTTGTTCCTGTGCATGGGCCTTTCTAGTTGTAGCGAGCAGGGGCTGCTTTTAGTTGCAATGTGTGGGCTTCTCACATGGTGGCTTCCGTTGCAGAGCACAGGCTCTCGGGCGTACGGGCTGCAGTGGCGTGGCCCTGGGCTCCAGAGCACAGGCTTCAGTGGTTGCGGCCCACGGGCTTAGTTGCTCCTGACATGTGGGACCTTCCCGGACCAGGGATTGAACCCGTGCCCTGCACTCACAGGCGGATTCTCATCCACTGCACCACGGGGCAAGTCCAGAGGACTACTTTCAAATTAGGAAATCCCTTTCATATTTCAACCCTTGCTGATATTACTATTGTAATTATCCAAAAAGGCCTAATTTTTCTGTTTATTTGCACATAGTAAAGTTATTAAAGGAAGATTAAATGGGATATTTGTTACATTTTGGATATGTCTGATTCAATTATAGTGAACTTGTATAGAATTTATAAGTACAAGACATTTATTAATAGCATTCTCGGGGGAAAAAAAGGTCTGTGGTATCTCTAGCTACTTCTTATAGGCTCAATAAATTAATCAATCAGGTAAGCTTTGTGGATAGCTGTCTGTGATGGTTACTAGCTGATGTAACTTCATATTTAGAGAAGTAGAGTTCTAGTTCCTAATGTTGTAAAATTAATGTTAAATATTATTGTACTCTTCAGAAAATGTACATACTTACATGTACCAAATTTTACATATATTGTCAGCATATCCATAAATCCCTTGACTCCACTCCAGTAATAATGTGCTAGGACTACTGCTATTACTACTGTTATTAAAGGTATCTCTACTGCTCTTTTTAAGTCTCTATTGTAATTCTAGTTTGTTTCCTAAAGGCATGAATAGATTCTCTCCTTTAAAACTCGTTAAACACTTTTCTTCACAGTATTAATGCATGTGCATTGGATTTTGTGTGCTAATAAATCCAGTAATATGCAGAGTATATTACATGGGGAAGAAGGGAATGAGGCCATCTGACTTTCTGAATTTGCTGGAAGCTGGTTTTTCAACTAGTCAGCTACTGTTTCAAGTTTCTCAGAGGTTGGGGACAAATTAGAAGTTAAAGGTTCTGTTCGTGCCTCCATTTACCTGATGATCATTTTCATGGAACCTCAAGACTGTGCAAGAGATTTATCCCTTCACGTGTCATCTCACTGCAGGATTTCCAGTGCACCTACCATGAGGCTGTGGGCTGCATTGGACATCTGAGATCACTTCTGTGTGGCTCTGTGGGTGGTAGGGAAAGCCTAGAATGCCAGGTGAGGGCATCTTTCTGTGTGGCAGGGCCCTCACCATGGAGAGCAGGCCTGGTCTGACCCTTCAGAACAAAGTGATGACATGAAGCGTGTTTCTTTCCAGCGGTCACCTGCCCGGGCATCGAAGCCCAGCTCTCGGAACACGTCACCTGGAGGCTGGTGTCGGGGTCTCTGAATGAGTACGGAGCGCAGGTGGTGCTGAGCTGCAGCCCCGGGTACTACCTGGAGGGCCGGAGGCTGCTGCAGTGCCACGCCAATGGCACGTGGAGCGTGGGGGAGGAGAGGCCGAGGTGCAGAGGTGAGTGACAGGCGTGTCCCCGCCCCCGAGGCCCGCCCGCATCCCTGATGGCGGCAGCATCTGCCTTTCGAGGGCCTGTCCTCTGTCCTCTGCATTAGCGGTGTAACCAAATGGCATTTCTTTTCATTACAATGTGAAATGTATATTTTTTTCCAACATACTTAACTATATGACTGCTGCCTTAAGTGTTAAATGTTGGCTTTTCCTTGTGAACAATCATATTTTACAGACATTGAAATATTATTATAGAATACTCAGATACTTCAAATCAGCTCAAAAACAAATCCACGTCTGTGTTTGTAAAGATCAGTCTTACTCCATGCACTGACTATTCAAACCTTCTAATTAGGATCTTGGGAGCTCATGCATTTATGCTAAGGATGTTGTGTTCTCAAATAATAACTGTCTTGAAAAGGGAGATTATGATTCTCGTAGGTACAAGATAAGCAGTTAAGCTTCTGAGTAGGTTTCATAATAAATATGAATAAATAGAAAAATAAAACAATATTAGTATTGTTCAGAGCTCTATTTGATTCAGATATATTTAATATACAATCTGTAGTGGGATTGTTCACAGGAAATTATCATGCACAAAAACAAGCAGTTAGAGCAGTGTAAGATTTATAAAATACCCAGCTTAGCAAGAATAGAGCAGAATAAAAATGGGGAAAGGACAAAAGAAACAACACTTCACTGTCTGTGATAGTCACTCTGATTCAGTCTATGAATCTGAATGGGACAAATGGTGATGACGCGCCCACTGATGCTCTTCACCAGGATCACGGACGTGGATCAGGAAGGGCCCAGACCTCTGGGAGCTCAAAGTGAGAGTGGACAGGACCCCTCCCGAAGCTTATTTATTCATGGGTCCCTCACCATTCCCTAGGGTGTCCTAGTTTGACTCATTGCCCGGTCACTGAAGGTGCTGAACTTCTCCATGTTAGACACCTGAATTAGTGAGTGCCCCCCTTCCCGCGACCTCCCACCAGCAATCTCAAGCTGTGATTCTGAGACTCGGGCATTAAACTCAGAAGGCGAGTGGAGGAGGAGTCAGGGCCTCTACCTTCTGCTATTTCAGACTTTCCCAGCCAACATCCTCTGTCAGTTTCACACAGGACACAGGGACTTGCACACAGGCGCTGGCTCACCTCCCGTGGGTGAAGAGTTCTTGGAGAGCTCCTGCAGATAACCAGTCTCATCAGTTTCCTATCCTGCCTGTTTGTCCTGTGACCCCAAGGTGGGGGGTTTGCTGGACTGGGGGGTGCCTTCTGCACCCCAGCCTTGTATACTTAGGGCTCAGATTGCCATTCTGGAATGCTAGACACTTACAGGGAGAGCCTTCCATTTATTTATTTATTTATTTTTAATTTAATTTTTTGACCCTGCTGCATGGCATGTGGAGCCTAGTTCTCTGACCAAGGATTTAACCCAGAGCCCCTGCAGTAGAAGCACGGAGTCTTAATCACTGGACCACCAGGGAGGTCCCTAGTCTTCTATTAATATTCAAAAGAGTGTTTATAAAAACACTGGTTGTTTTGCCCTTTTTCTCTTTTTTATTTTTTTAAATTATGGAAGTATGATAACATTTACAGGAGACTTGGAAAATGCCTAACAGGGTTACATATAGTTCTCCTATATATTATAATTATTTTTAAGTAGATAAATTAAGATTTTTAGTTGGAGTTTCAATATCAAACTCTTAAAAATTAATAGAACGAATATACAGAGAAGTAGAAGAATATAGTAGACCTGAAAAGCACTATGAACCAATTCAACATAATTAAGATTTAAACAATTTTCACACAACAGTAGGATACAAATTCTATTCAAGTTCCCATAGGCTGTAAACTAGGAGACACTGGAACACAAGGGACATAAAACAAGTTGCAAAAATTTCATGGTCTAAAGGTATTGAAATCATATAGGGTCTGTTCTCTTATCACTGTGGAATTGTGTTAGAAATCACTATCAAAAGATATTTGAAAATAGCTCTCACATTTGCAAGTGCAATGTGACATTTACTAAGAGAGATCTTCAACTTAGCCATCAAAAGCCTGAATAAAGTTAGACTAAAAAAAATACAGAGGGTGATTGCAGAGGAGAAAGCATTTAAATGAGAAATTAGTATCAAAATGATAAATTAATATCAGCATTACCTTATTAAGTCCCATGTAGTTGCAAATTAAATATCCACTTTTTTTTATATCCACTTTTTTAAATTAATTTTTTATTGAAAGATAATTGCTTTACAGAATTCTATTGTTTTCTGTCAAACCTCAGCATGAATGGCCATAGGTATACATATACCCCCTCCCTTTTGAACCTCCCCCCTGTCTCCCTCCCATCCCACCCCTCTAGGTTGTTATAGAGCCCCTGTTTGAGTTTCCTGAGCCTCACAGCAAGTTTCCATTGGCTGTCTGTTTTACATATGCTAATGTAAGTTTCACTGTTACTCTTTCCACACATCTCACCCTCTTCTCCCCCTCCCCATGTCCATAAGTCTATTCTCTATGTCTGTTTCTCCACTGCTGCCCTAAGTAAATTCTTCAGTACCATTTTTCTAGATTTCATATAATGGATAAATGTCCACTATTAAATGATGAATGTACCTAAGAAGCCATAACAAGGAAAATTAGAAAATATTTGCAATAGAATAAAATGAAAAGAGAATTTGCCAGAATTTGTTGCATGCAGCTGAGGCTGCTCAGTGCAATCAAATACAATGTGGAGTCTTGAATAAAATATGAAAACAAATAATGCACACTAGAGTAAAATTTTGTGAAATTGGAACAAAATCTCTCCTTCAATTAATATCACATGTTAATTTCTTTCTTTTCTTTCCTTTTTTAAAAATAACATTGTATTTCTTTATAATCTCAGAATTGGATTAGAAATTTTAAGCCTTGTTGAAATCTTTTTTTAAAAATCACTAAGATAATAAATTTCTAGAATTTTAGTAGTCATACTAGATGCCAAAGTACATGGAACTATATCAAAGTTTTGAATGAATATAGATTAAAAATCAAGCATTGTATTCATACTAAGTGGAATTAAATGTCATTTTTATTTTAGCTAGGCAATAATTCTTAAATTTTCTAAAATATATATATTATATATATATATATATATATATATATATATATATAGTATGTATACAAAAGCTTTTCCACTACACTTGATAAAGGTTTGAGAAAGAACAAAAGAGATGGAGAAATTAGAGAACATAAACTAAATGAAGTGGTGGCACTGAATATCAAATAGAAAAAGTGAAACAAACTAGATAAAAGTAAAAGATCATCATCTAGTTCAGTTGTTTTTAAAAATGACTGCTCTTTAGAAACATATCTAGGACTCCAGAAAAAAATTTTAAAAAGCAATACCTGGGCATTTGTATTTTTCAGAAAATTCCAAGATCATTCTGATATACATCTGGATTTTAAAAAGTGATTATAGATTTTTCTATTAAATGGTGGTTCTAATGATATAGAATTCTATTGACCAATCATAATACAATGGTGTTCAGTCAGTGATATTTACAGACTCACAATAGTAAAAGATGAAAAACACACTGATTCTTAAACTGAACCATTGGCAGCCCAGTTCCACCCTCATTTGTGAAAAGAAGGCAGAACTTGGCTTTGGCCATCCATGAATTGTATCTCTACCTCCCTCTTTCTGGTTTCTCAGAAGCCTGTTTTCCCGACTTCCAATTGATGTCCTTTAATCCGCTGGGTCTCATGCTGAGTCTGGTCCGTGGACAGCCACCACCAGGCCCTAGGCCTGAAGACGTCTCCAGGCATCTGGGCCACAGACATTCTCTGCAGATGGTTGGGCGTTCACTGACTGCGTTGAGCAGGAGCTGTTCTGTCTCACTTTGTTATTTGTCTCCTTCGAACGTCCTTGAGGATGTGCAGCCTTTTCTAAAAGCATTGGCTTCCACAGAAGTCTTTGCTTGCCTTTTGGTTTTGTGTCTTTATTAGTATCTGTTGTTCGGTTGGTCACCCTGTGGCCAGGGGGCGTGCCTTTACACTTGAACCTCTGACATCTTTGAATCAACCACATTTCATCATAAAGACAGGGTGTTTTATGCGCCTCCTGAGTTTTCCTCACCCAAACGTGGAATCTGCTCTTCTCCAAGGAGCCCCGCTACCTATTGCTGGAAATGGTATAAGAGACCAAGCTCTGTGCCCGAGGGTGTGCATTATCTGAGGGTTACTGTATTTATTCTTGAAAGCTTGATAGGAGAAAAGAACAGGGACACAAAGCTTTCCCTTGGAAATTTGATGAAGGATTTCATTTGTTTTTTAGGGTAGAGGAGTCCTCTCTTTCTGTTAGGGGGCTTCCACGTTGGTGCTGCCCACCTCATTAATGTGACGGGTTTTCTGCCTCCCACATCTCCACATCTGAGACCCCATTATCCAGCTGCTGGAAAGCTAAAGCTTTGTCCCAATAGTTCTTTTTTACAGTCTAGTGAAGCTTAGTAGAGGACAAGCCTAAAATAGTTTAGTCACCAGAATATTTTTAACAGAGGCTAAAAAAATAGAACAGATGTGAAAGCCACGCTCCTTTCTGCTGGTCCACCATTGACTGTGTTAGGACCTCCAAGAGGAGGTGTGCTCAGACCTCCCTTCTTACTAACGCTGAGGTTTCAAAACACAGTCCAGCCATCCCGAGTGGCTACAAGGGGATCTTTAAATATCATCACTCAAGGTTAAGTTCATACCATGTTTGAGAAAAGGCATAATGAGAAGTTTATAATTAATTGTAAAAAAAAATCTAAATCTGACTGAAACCCATGGACGTGTGGAAGAGTGAATGCATTAGCAGTATTACTGAATGCATGAGATACGACCCTGTAAGAGTTTAGCAATCCCAGAAACTCAGAAGTCCTCACAACTCCCTCAACAACAATAACATTCTCATCAGGACATGCTCCAGAGCTGACCTTTCCAGATTTCTGATGAGCGGTGCCCCCAGAGCACACATTTCCAGGCTGTGCCTGTCTGTTTGAAACGGAACCAGGGTTTGGGGTCTTGGAGTAAAATCAGCTTAATTCAAAAGATTGGTCTAAATGGTAAAATTGTCTTCACTTGAATTTTCAGTAAAAGCTTTCAGATTTTGGAACCAGTTCCCCAAATAGGCCCCTAGGTGTCCTTCACTCTTGGCTGACACGGGCCCAGCCCCGGCCAGGCGCAGGGCACTGCTTTAGTGCACCCCCACCTGCTGTCCTCTCGCCGAGCTCAGTGCACATCCCTACCTGGCCGGGGCTGGTGTTAACCTTCAGAGATGAACCAGGAGGGCTCAGAGACCCAGAGAGGTTGGCGGTGTCACCCAGCTCAGAACTGGCAAAGATGAGTGGACCCCGGGCGGCCTGCAGCCAGCATGTGTGTGCTTGTTCTTTGCCTTTTACTGCCTCTTAACAGTTTACTGTTAACGAGGACTCAGTCATTTCTAGCTACTTGGCGGCTTTGCCCCAAGCCCTTTGCACATAAAAACTCACTTAGTGCAGCAGGAAATTTTTATCACTACTCTTAGAAGAGCTTTTCACTTTCATTCTCACCTGTTAAATCACATTTAAGCCTGTAATGAGCAGTTCACCTTGATGACTTCATGATTCCCTCCTCCCCTGAGATTCTGCTGATTTTGTGTGTGTGTGTGTGTGCTCAAACATCAGATTGATGTTGATTTTGTGAGTGGATTTTGCAAGTACAGAGAGTCAGGTGGTATAACAAGTATCTATAATGAAAGTGACCACTGCATTCCTCTCCCCACCTGGACTAATCGTGTGGGTGTAAGTAGTCAGTGATCAATAATTGTGCTGGAACATACATGTAAACTGGGTGCCTACATCTATAATCAGTTAAGGTCTAGTTTTTATATTTTTTTATTTTCAGAAAGTCTGCACACGTTCCATATAGTCAACATTTTTATGAAGCTCATGGTCCCAACAAATAGTAAATGAAAGAAAAAGTGAACTCAGTCCTTCTACTGTAGTGGGCATCCTGGGGTTTAAGTCCGTACATTTTGTACCAGTTGATGACTTTGGGGAAGACCAGCCATGTGTCTCAATTCATGTTATGCACATGTGGATGTCCAGTAACTGTGATGGGATTCTTGTAATTGATGTAAGCAGAAAAGAGGACAGAAAGCCAACTTGTTGGACTGACTTGCTTGTCTGGTAACATATGTGTATACTGTGTATTTGAAGAAAAGTTTAGCTACCTGTGAGGATGAAAAAAATAGAAATGGGTGAAGGAAGGGACTTATTCTATTTTGGGTTCTACTCTAAAGTTTCAAGTTTTCATTCCAAGGATACAAGAGAAGGGAAATTAAACTTCCCAGGTGATGGGTCATCTCACCCTGAGATGACACCCCTGCCGCCCAGATTCTTAATGAGATGAAGACTTGAGATCTTGTGGTTTTTACACAGAGAGTATTCTATGTCAGACCTGCAACAATGTTCTCTCTGTTTTTCTTTCCCTTCTAGTGATCTCATGCGGAAGCCTGTCCTTTCCCCCAAATGGGAACAAGATTGGAACGCTGACGGTCTACGGTGCCACAGCCATATTCACGTGTAACTCAGGCTACACGCTCGTGGGGTCCCACGTCAGAGAATGCTTAGCCAATGGGCTCTGGAGCGGTCCCGAGACTCGCTGTCTGGGTGAGTTAATCTTTGCAAGGGCACTGCTTTACTTCAAACAGACCTCGAAGATGGAGAACAGCAAGACAGAACGTGGTACTTCTCGCCATGAAAGCGCCGATGGAGAGTAACTAAATCCCACCGAGGCCTTTAACACTGCTCTTTAGAGTATCACTTCTTCTTTAAGTATCTAAAGGGATTTTTAAAAATCTGAGCGATAAATGCAGGTCATATATCGCCTTAAATGACTCAAAAATTATTTTATAGAGTGCTGAAGGTAGCACTGCCCTCTAATGCCCTCATGGTTTTAGAATGCACACACACACGTTGAAAAAAAAAATAGAATGCACAAAAAATAAATTTTAAAATTGTCATAGATTTTATCTTCTTAAAAATTTTAAAATTACATTAATAAGTTAATGTGCCATTAATGTCCATCAGTGTAAGGACAATGAATTATTTAAAATAGGGCTTCCCTGGTGGTTCAGACAGTAAAGAATCTGCCTGCAATGCAGGAGACCTTGGTTGGATCTCTGGATCAGGAAGACCCCCCTGGAAAAGGGAGCAGCTACCCACTCCAGTAGTCTTGCCTGGATAACTCCATGGACTGAGGAGCCTGGCAGGCTGTAGTCCATGGGGTTGCAAAGAGTCAGACACAACTGAGTGACTTTCACTTTTTCTTTATCTTTTTTAAAAAGTTTTAACTTGCCTTAGTAAGTTAATGTACCATTAATGTCTGTCAGTGTAAGGACAATGAACTATGTAAAATAGAAAGTGTGCATAGTATTAATAATTTGGTCTTCTTTTTCCCGAGGATTAACATTTTCTACATGATAATTTTTTTTAAGTTGGGTTGAGGGGCTTCCCTGGTGATCTAGTGGTTAAGACTTCACCTTTCAGTGCAGGGGTGCTGGTACGATCCCTGATCACATGCCCCGTGGCCAGAAAAACAAAATATAAAACAGAAGCAATATTGTAGCAAATTCAGTAAAGACTTTCAAAATGGTCCACATTAAAAAAAAATGTTTGAAAAATTGGGTTGAAAGTTCTTCCTTTGAAAAATTAAGTGTATGAAAATTGCTGAGTAAGCAGTTTAAAGTGCAGAGATTTTAATGCTTCTTCTAGGTCTGCAAGTGATTAGTAAAATATGTTAATTGCCTTTGCATGTGTGCATGCTAAGTCTATTCAGTCCTGTCCACCTCTTGGCGACCCCATGGCTGTAGCCCACCAGGCTCCTCTATCCATGGAATTCTCCAGGGAAGAGTACTGGAGTGGTTGCCACGCCCTCCTCCAGTGGATCTTTCTGACCCAGGGATCAAACCCGCATTTCCTGTGGCCCCTGCATTGCAGGCAGAATCTTTGCCACTGAGCCACCAGGGAAGCCCCTTTTATAACTGTCTCTGTGATCTTGATAGCTTTGTAACCACTCCAACGCAGCAGAAGTGGGAAGTTTAGGCTTCTGAACCTCTGCGGGTGAGGCTGACTTCAGGAACTCAGCCAGGACCAGTGAATTTAAATAGTAATAATGCTGCCATGGCTGATTCATGCCAATGTATGGCAAAAACCACTACGATATAAAAGAAATTTTTTTTAAATAGTAATAATCTGTTCTTTCCACTGGAGGGAATTTGAAGAAACACTCAGGCATTTGAAGGAAGTGGATGAAAGTAAAGCAGCAGACCAGGAAACAGGTAACCAATGCCAGAAGGAGGTTCTCATGCTTCTCCATGGAGTGACTTTCTTCAGATTAGCACAAGACTTGGATCCGTGCTGTTCTAATACAAGGCGTGCGTGTGAGTCCCCTGTTGAGTGTGGTCACTGTCGTTCTCAGCCATCCAGGGCATCTCCCTGGGATTTATGTGGTATTTCCTGGGAGGCAGTGCTGCTTCTGAGACGTCCTGTGCTTTCCTGCTGCTGTTATGAGATTGGCTGGTGAGTGGTGCTTTCCTTGAGGCTGCTGTGGTTGGGGTAGGTTTTATCTGTCAGCTGCAGTGAAGCGTGGAATCAGGTGATCTAAGAAATTCCATCTCTGCTCTTAACTGTGAGATGGAGACTAAGTTCGAGACTAAGACTCGAAGTTCACTTGCTTGGTGGGTCACTGCCCACAAAGGCCTTATTGGCCCTTCCAGTGACCCTGGGATGCTAAGGCAGCAGTGGCCACAGGAAGTTTCAGCGGCAACTTCAGTTTTTGTAACTGTTGAATCGTGGAGCCAGCTTGAGTCTTGTTGATTGCAAGCAAACCTTCACCTGTTTCGTGGCATTCTTCTGATGGAAGGTTAGGGCTTTGAAGTGGAAAGAATGAGATGCGTAGTTAGCTGTATGGAGGTGCTCAAAGGTACAGCCTCGGTGGGATGCAGTGTGACTGAGACACTTCTGGAAGAGGGAGTTAAGCTGAAAGACAGAGGAAGGAAAATGTCCAGATTATAGTGTATAAAATGCTAGTGTTGTAGATCCTGGATGCAGGATATGAAGAATAATGCAATTGGAGGAGGCCAGAGTATATTACTCAGCCATTAAAAAGAATTCATTTGAATCAGTTCTAATGAGATGGATGAAACTGGAGCCCATTATACAGAGTGAAGTAAGCCAGAAAGATAAAGACCAATACAGTATACTAACGCATATATATGGAATTTTAAAAGATGGTAATAATAACCCTATATGCGAAACAGAAAAAGAGACACAGATGTACAGAACAGACTTTTGGACTCTGTGGGAGAAGGCATGGGTGGGATGTTCTGAGAGAATAGCATTGAAACAAGTATACTGTCAAGGGTGAAACAGACCACCATCCCAGGTTGGATGCATGAGACAAGTGCTCAGGGCTGGTGCACTGGGAAGACCCAGAGGGATGGGATGGGGAGGGAGGTGGGAGGGGGGTCGGGATGGGGAACACATGTAAATCCATGGCTGATTCATGTCAATATATGGCAAAAACCACTTCAATATTGTAAAGTAATTAGCCTCCAACTAATAAAAATAATTGAAAAAAACAAAAAAACACCTAGAAAAGGATGAGAAATGATGCTTAGCCATGTGAGATTCTAAACCAGTGAGTAAAGAATGGGTAAGAAGTCTAAAGATTGTGAAAGTTGTAAACGTAGTCTCAGTGAGACTTTACAGGTTGGGATTCATAATACACAGACTATAACAATGGAGGATAATTCTTTTCCTGAAAAAATGGCTTGCCAATGGGTAGATAATATCATGTGACCTGGCAAGAATATATGTCCACAGGACCCAGAAGACCGTGTGGAAGACAGTGGAGAACATGGGGAGAAGGATAAGCAGGTGGGAAACAGAGTCCTGTCAGTGTGGAGATGCTCAGATGGGGAAAGACCATGACAATGCTAGCTGAAAGACTGAAAATAAATATCTGATGACAGATGCAGGAACCCTTCAAATCAATGATTGGCCAAATAAATTATTTTTAGACATAAGAAGGGCTTCTCAGGTGGTGCTTGTGGTAAAGAACCTGCCTGCCAATGCAGGAGACATAAAAGATGTGAGTTCAATCCCTGAGTTGGGAAGGACTTCCCTGGAGGAAGGCATGGCAACCCACTCCAGTATTCTTTCCTGGAGAATCCCATGGAGAGAGGAGCCTGGCGCGGGGTACAGTCCATAGAGTCGGAAACGGTCAAACACGACTGAAGCAATTTAGTACATACACATGCAGACATAAGAAAATAATGGAATTAGTATGATATTTTACTCAAAATGAAAAGCAAAATAACTTTAAATGTACATGATGAGGAGAAAATTATGAAGTCAAAGCACACACAGAAGGACCATGTGTTTTGGGTAATAGAGGCTCATTGGCACAAGAGATGGCTGCAGCACCGGTGTTATTTCCTTCTTGTCCCATGTGCGTAGGTGGTCCATATCTGGGGTGAAGACTTCAGTTCTGTGAGGTAGTTCAAGTGAGCTGCTGAGGACTTGAAATGCATTTGTAGTGAAGGTTCTGGTAACCATGACATGTGAGGAATGTTTAGAAAACTTGTGATCTTCAGTTTGGCCGAGAGAAAAGTTAGGTAATTAATAGCTCTTTTCAAATATTTAAAACAGTTGGTGGGAAAGAATTTAAAAACTAAAATTAATTAAACACATCTGCTGATGTGTTCCTGATGACCAGGGCTGCTAAAGACATTAGTGATACATAATTCCATTCATTGGTTTGAAATACCAGATGTGCATACAGAAAAATAGTTTTCAGATTCAATATAGGAAATATTTTCCCTTATTTATTCTTAAACAAGTGGGATCTGTCCAAGAATGCGATGAAGACTTCCTGAAGAAGTGGTTGGCCACCTGGCAGGTGTTTGTGTGGGGCTCCATGGGACTCTGTGCTGTTTTGATTCTATACCCAGCATGCTTTCTCCATCATAATGCAAAACACTTTGGCAAAAGAATTTTTAAAGTTGTGGGTAAAGTATCTTGTTTATTTTTAAGAGTTACTAGAACAAAAGAATTCCTTTGCTTGAGATTGTTTCACATGGAGCAGGCATCTTGTTTCTAGCTGGGGTACAATGGTTATTTCCAATGATTTCCAGCAGGGAAGAACATGCCAGATTCCTTATGATCATGACAGCAGAAATGGCCAAGCACACACATGGGCACTGTCACAGTGGGAGTCTCATGACTCTTAACAGTCGGAGAGCTGGATGTAAGACGATGAAGATGATTTTCTTTGTCTGACATCTGAGAGCTGAACCTGTGCTGTATTTGAGGTCTCTTGTCAGAATTCTAAGCTAGAACTTTTGAGGAAAGATAGAATAAGGAAAACTTGGCAACCCCACGTGCAACCGTGATTAGAGCTAAAATTTAGGCAAAGTGCTCCCTGTGAGCGTCAGAGTACATTTTTATAAAGGTCCACTCTCACTTAATCAGTGCCGCATCTCTGCTACAAGCAGGGTCTTGCCAGGCTGGGAATGGCCCAGGACATGTTCTCATTCACCGTCTGCTGTGCAGCTCTCCGCATCTCCCTGGGCTGCAGAATTAAGTGCCAGGGAGGCTGACCCCGT